GAGGATGTCTGCTCCCATGTCGACCGCGGTCTGGGCTAGCAGTTGTTCGGCGCCCCAGCTATGGTTGAGGTTAACTTGCAGAAAGTTAGGCATTGGAAGGTGTGGTGGTCGGCCTGACGGCCCCTCTCCGTGCTGCGCAGGAACCCGTCACCGGCTTGAGCGACGTCTTTGGAAGGCCGGCCAGCTGGCACGCCAAACAGTTGTCGTCGGCCTCGGTGCAATCCTTCATGACATGGCATCTAAAGCACCTTTCTGGCGGGAGCGTTCTCGGCCTGACCCTACACATGGAGTATCCCACCGGAATCCTGGAGATTGATTCGGCCACGTGCTTTGGCATGCTGGCCGAGGCGATCTGCTGTTTGGAGCGCGTGGGCCAGATCCTTACATTGCCGATGAACTCCCGGTCTGCTTTGATCGCTGCGTCGTCCTGGCCGGTGACGGCAGCGCGGAGGGCCTCGAGGACTTCTGTGGCGGTGGCGCAGGCGTCGAGGTCGAGGACCTCCACGTCGACCAGAACGTATAATATTAAGTAATATATAATATAATATTGTTGTATTTTAATTAAAGGTAAAGAATCGTAATAAATCAAAAAATCTGATGACGTTCAACAGATGACAGATGACATATGTCTTATTTCTACGCTGTTAATTAACAATATTTGGTAAACAAAAGTATTTAAAAAAAAAATATGCTTGGACAATTGTGTGAGTATGGATATTCCAAGTCAAGTATGTATTTAGTAGTAAGTAAGGTATTTTCTTTTTTAGACCTAGAGTTTAAACTTGTACTTTTGTTTATAATTTCATAACTTTTCACTGCATTTCAGATATAAATAACAGTTAATTTTGTTTAATCTTCATTTATTTTATTTTTTGCCATAATTAGATTAGATTTGATTAATATGCATATGCATATAATATGTATTGTAATAAGCTTTTTGAAAATATTTGTACCCGATTTAGATCATTCTTCTTAAAATAACACTGATTGTATTTTGCATATTTTGCATGATTCCAAGTGTTTGACAGAAACCGATCAGGGAATATAGATTGAAGATATAGAATGTTAAATTGCAAAGAACTTAGTGAAGACGAAAAAATACTTTTTTATACCTTTTTTAATACTTATTTTTTAGGTATAAATCTAATTTAATAGACACCCTTTTTTAAAATTTTTTTTTTTTTAATTTCGTGTTTTTCATGCTAAAATCAAAAGTGTTTAAAAATATTTGTGGAAACTTACTGTTCAAAAGTTATGGCAATTCAAAATTGTCGATAATACAAAATATGCTAAATAACTAATTTTCACCTGATGTCCGGGCTAACGAGTGACCATGCTGGCAGTAAGTGTACTTAGAAAACAATATTGATGAAAAAAAGGGTGTCCGGTAAAATAGATTTGTTCCATTTTTTACATGATTTATTATGTTTGTAACTATTAATTAATATTTAATATCATCGAAGACTCCCTTCTTGACAAAAAAAAGTGAAAAAATACATCTAAGAAACGTTAGGTATACTTAAAATTGTGTTACATTATATTATATGAATTAAGTTTAAATTTAAAATAAATAATTGAATTATTTTTATTATTATTATTGTTATTTTATTATTTGTGAAAACCAAAATTGTCAATTTATATTTGATTACATACATTATTACATGGTTCATCTACTCATTAAACCCTAAGATTGTTATGAGTAGGGTTCAAGCAGAACAAAATATAAATATTAACTAGCATGAGTATGCACTGAAAACTTAATATATTAAATGTTTTCTTATACTATCCAAATTAGACAGACAATTATCATTAAAAGTATATTTGGTAGCCTATTACTAGGGTATAGGCCAGTGGTGGCTTAGGGGGGGGGCGTTTTCCCTTCCCATTGGGCTGTCTTTTTAACGTTATCTTTTATTATTATATTAGGCTTAACCAAAAGGTTATTCAATTTTTGAAAATTCACTCCCTTGGGTGATCCGCTAGTGGTATAGGTCTTAGTTTGAATAATAAAAATTTGAAATTCGAATTCATAAAACCTTTAATGTATTAATATGTATACTAAATGCGCTTCCCCAAAAAGGTAACTCATTACTTAAAATGGATCTAACCAAACAAACAAAATTTATTACTAATAACTAATTTTGTCAACAAAATATTAAGTATATTTTCAGTGTTACCCGGACAATACATGAACAATATGTTACATGTTTGATATGGCTAACCTGTAAAAGGGAGTCTAACTGCGCTTCAACTATTTTATTGAACGGCCTCTCTATATTACTCTATGACTAGTACACACTATACGTGAACACTGAATCACATAATTGACCGCACGGTATCGACCAGTGTACACCGGGCAGTGTACACCAGTGTGTACTAGTGCAGTCAGATTTTGTGGTTAAGTTACAATAATTATCAATAATAAGGAACCCTTGAAACCTCAAAAAATTTTAACACTTTATCCATGGTTGATAAGCCCGATGTGTTATCTATATAAATCTATGATACAACAATTTTCTATACTGATGGATAGTCGCATAATTATAACGTATTATTTATTTTATTTAAACATAACTTAACAAAAAAAAAAAAAAGAAAACAGCTTATGTGGTAGTAACAAGTGAGAGTTGAGAAACCGTCTTTAAACCACTACTTTTATTCTAATGGTTTTTATTTTATATAATCTGATGAAATATCTTTAAGTTTGTAAGCACGGTTTTAGAATTTCTATCTCAAGTCATGCCTACATGATATAACGTTCATAGTAATATTATTTATTTATTTATTTATTGAATAAACGGGCGTGAGCCCAGGTTGAAATAATTAGGTGTACAATACAATCATACAATAACATAATATGAATAATAAAACAAAGTATAAAATATAAAATTAAACTAAACAATGAATACAAAAGTAAAACTATTAAAGGAACAACGGATCCTCATTGGCTAATTTCATTATTCTCGTAATAGGTTCATTTTTTAAATAATTTCTAGTGCAGAAAGGTATTAAGAAAGGATGATTATTGCGGGTGGACCTAACAGGAACTCTAAAGTTAATGAGAGAAAGAAGGGATGGGGAATCGATCAAGCCTGTTAGGAGCTTGTTAAGGAAAGAGAGATTATTGAAGCGACGACGGTCAGCTAGGGAGGATAAGTTAAGCAAACTGAGAAGAGGAGTGTAATCGTGAGGGGTGCAGTTTATGTTAAGAGAATGTTTCATGTAACATAAAAATTTTCGCTGGACCCGTTCTAGTTGAAGACAAGCATCAGTTGTTTGGGGATCCCATACAACTGAGCCGTATTCTACGATTGGACGTACAAGTGCACAGAGGGAAGCGGAGAGCTTAAAGTCACTAGATATTCTTTTGACGAATCCCAATACCTTAAGGGCTATATTATCATTACAACGATACATTGTTATTATTCTATTTTATTTAATATTTTTCATTTTAAAAAAGAAGTTTAAGCTTAAGAAGTTGTAAAATTTAATAAATAACAATATAAAAATAGTACTTACATATCTTGTGGAAATTAAAGTATTTTTTCTAAGTATGATGGCTTTTTAGAGTTGTTTTGACTGGTTGATATTTGTTAAAGAGGTCTGGTAATCTGCTAGCTGACTGTTGGTTGACGAAGAAGGCTGTTCTGCTGCTGACTACTCTTGGAACTGCTGTGGACTGCTGTTGCTTGAACTGATGAAGATAAGCTAAGAAATTCTGTGTTTTATACCTGAAAATAGTCAATTCTGTTTACCTGAAAATAAAATAATCATGCGATATTCGCATCATAATATTAGACTAATTATAAACTGCAAACTGACATTTTTTTTTTCACTACAATGTAAAAGGATTTAAAATCATGTTATGTATTTAGCCATTTTTAACAATAATAAACAATATTTTTTAACCAAAATTAAGAGTTTCAACTTTTGTTAAATTTATTTTAATCTATGGGTCACCTTTTTGGCGAAGTGCTTAATATACATAATATATTAAATAAACTAAAGGTAACAATGAATTTTCTTTTAAAATGTATATCTTTCAAACCAAGGCTATACCCTAATAATTAAATTTTTAATAATTGTTGTCTGTCTCATTTAAAAATTTGTATTACAAAAAATGATGTATCTGCCGGGACGGAACAATAATAGACCGTGGGCCCGGTCCCGTGGCCTATAGATAAATGAGGCTGGAGTAGTACCATACGTTACGGTGACCAGCTGATAGGTACGTAGGGCTTCGCTTGGATCGCTGCGCCAAAGAATCCTTTGTAAGTCCCAATCTTGCTCAGCCACGGAAATTTGACGGAACATCTTTTCAATGTCCGCTGTGATGACATACTGATGCTTCCGAAATCTAGTGAGGATAGAGAAGATATCATCTTGTGTTGTTGGTCCTCGCATTAGAACGTCGTTAAGGGACAGTCCAGTAGTTGTCTTGGCTGACGCATCAAACACTATTCTTGTCTTTGTAGTTAGACTCGAACTCTTAAATACAGCGTGATGCGGCAGATAAAAGGCACGTTCAGGAATCCTTGTTTCAACCGGAGCCAAACGCATGGGACCCATTGCCAAATATTCCTTCATAAATTTTAGGTACTCTGTCCGTAAAGTTGAATCCCGTTGCAACCGTGCTTCAATATTCATGAATCTAGAAGTAGCCATGTTGACACTCTGTCCCAGATTTTGAATTTCCGACTTCACTGGTAGCTGTAGCACAAACCGACCTTCGTAATTCCTTGTAACTGTGTTCTGAAAGTGTTGTAGAGCTTGTTTTTCCTCGATTGCGCGTTGGTTTGCCTTAGATGTTTTTCCATATAAAGCATCGCTATATGGTGTCGTGTTCATATTGATGAGACAAATTTGATCAATTCTCCCGGTTACAATCCAGCCGAATTTGCTATCTTGTAGGGTTAGACTGTTGGTCCTTAGTGGAATGCTCCCTTTCCAATATCTGATAAAATATCTCTGCTCCTATGAGGAGGTCTACTGTTCCGGACTCATAAAACTTGGTATCTGCTAATTTGGATATTAAATCCTGAGGGATGTCCCAGCCACCCCTTGGTATTGGACATGAAGGGAGATCGCCTACCACTTTTGGTAACACGTAAAACCCTTGAACCCACTTGAATGTTTACTAGTGCTACGGACTGGATTTGACTTGCTCCCACACCTCTGATTGGCAGTTCAGTTTTCCTTGTAGGAAGTTGCAGTGCGCTTAAAAGACTTCTGGCAGCAAAGTTTATCATGGACCCACTGTCCAAGACTGCTCTGCATTTACGTTTGCAGCCCTTACTGTCAGTCACCAATACTTCAGTAGTTGATAGAAATATATGGCTACGCTTAGGTCTGGCTGCTATGTACGAATGAGCTTGTATTGAATCGCTACCAGATTGCTCGCTGTTAACTAGATCGTCCTCATCCTGAGGTTTCCCTCTGTGTACTGCTCCCGAAGTTTCAAATTGACTTGATTTTTAAAAATGCAACAACGTATTGTGCTTACCTCTGCAAACTTGACAAGTGGAATTCGATTGACACTGGGGTGCCATATGATATGAACTCAAACAATTGAAACACATCCGAGCAGACCGTACAACGTTAAAACGTTCTGACTGGGGCAGGTCCTTAAACTTTTTACATGCATAAATCCTATGCGTTTGAGAGCAACATGCGCATTTCTCTGGTTTAGTCTCTATTGCTGCCAAAGTCACCCTTTTTCCAAGATGGTTAATGCTTGTCTTCTTCTTTAGTTCATTTTTATTCATGAATGCTTCTGTGCTTTCAAGGGCCACACACCGACTAGCAAGAAATTCCTCTAGTTCTTTATATGTGGGCAGCTCAGTATCTTTACGTCGTAGTTGCCATTCTTGAGCTGTTGCATGATCGAGCTTTCTGAGTATAATGGTCACAAGCCACGCATCCCACTGTACTACAGGCTGGCCTAACGCCTCTAGTGCCACAGTATGAGATGCAACCCTTGAATGCAACGATTGCAGTTCACCTGCAGAGGAAGACTCCACCTGCGGACAATCTAATATAGCACGTATATGAGACTGAATATTCATGCTCTTATTTTCATAACGCTGTTTTAACCTTTTCAAGGCTATGTCTTAATTTGCCTCAGTCATCGGAATTGCTCTTATGACGTCCAATGCCACACCGACTAATGATGATCGTAAATATGAAAACTTCTGAGCGGGAGGATATGCGTCCTCATTGTGTACTGCATCCTTAAAGAAATCAAAAAATGATTCCCACTCTTATATATTGCCATCAAATGTTGGGAGAGAAATAGGTGGTAGCCGAGCACGGTTAAAATAATGTGGTACCCCTACAGATTGATTGCTTATTAATGTTGTGGTTTGGGAGTTTTGAACATTGACAATTTCCTTTATTTGAGATCTAATACTGTAGTATTCCATCTCAAATGAATTGCGTTCTTCGTTCTCTTGCGATGCGTCGTCAGATAATAGTTCAATTTGAGACTGAACATCATCAAACTTTCTGTTGATCTGAGGTAGCTCATCCTGGCGAAATTCTAACAATGATATTGGCTGCTCATTTGTGTCAAAACACCTAACAAAGGTTTTGATTCGTGTGAGGGATCCCTTGATTACCCCTCTCCTCTTTCTCAAACCTAGAAGATCCTTTTGAGCCTCCTCCAATGTCATTTTAATTTATTAAACTTCCCTTTAACAAGATTGGTAAGCAACAATAATACTATCAATATATGTATATATGCAAGGCTCGATAGTGAATAATAATAATAACAGTGATATAATTGATAATGTATCTCAACGCATTAGATACAAGTGTAAAACCTAATAATACACAATTAATGATATAATAATGATAGTGCTTAATATTATTGATAAATAATACAACGCTGCTACGAACAAGTTAATATTAATATGCTAATGATTACGGATAATAATGTCGTATACAATTTATCCGATCACGTCGAGGTCACCAAAAATGTTCGCGCCGGGACGGAACAATAATAGACCGTGTGCCCGGTCAGCGCTTACCTACTTCCGCGCAAACTCACACACCGACCGACCTATTTATCTTTGTGTGTATAATGTGTCTAGCGACTCAAGAGAGGTGGACGGGATCGCTGAGCAAATCTCTGAGCGCTAGGTAGTGTGTGGTGAGTAGGTGTGTATGTGTATGTGTATGTACTTATGTTAAACTAATAATAAAGAATAATAACACGGTTCTTAACAATTGATAAATAGTATTGCTGTATTACTAGTAAAAGCCTTAAATCGATAATAATATTAAATTCACAGCAACACAACAATACAAATATGATAATAATAATAAATACACCGTCCTTTTAGCCAGACAGAATAGTATAATAATAATATGTATAAAACTCACGGGTTGTCGGTGCTCTGCTGGCCAGCCGCTACCTAAGCTATAATATGTATAATAAACAATACAATGATAAATAATAACACAATTTTTGATACACTTCACAATTCAAAATAATATAACATTGTAAGGTATGTGAAATAACAGTTGCGGTTAGCGCCTCTGCATAAAAATGTAATATAACGATGTACACAGCCGATAATACAATAAACAATGATGATAATATTATATAAGTGGCGATTCGCGCCCACGACTTAGCACAATATTATAAAAAGGACGATTCGCGCCCGCGACACAGTAAAATTACATAAAAGGGATGATTTGCGCCCGACAATGACTTGCAGAAAACAATTTAATAATTTAAAAACCGGCGATTCGCGTACGGCAATGAATCGTGGGTTCTTGGTTGACACCGCTTAGCGAACTGATACGTGTTCGGGCGGCTGTGCTTTTAGTCCGCGTTTCTCGCGGCGAGCTGTCGTCGACCGGTTTACATTAGTATAGGTAATCTACATTTATATAATACACAAAACAGAAAGATACAATAAAACAATTTAATAATAATAATATAAACACGACACTGTGCTGTGTGTGTGTGTGTGTGTGCGTGTGTGATGCGGTCGGTGGGGAATGTCACCGCGCATTCGGGCCTCAACAGTATCTATGTTTCGGTGCAACTCCTTTGCGCACAATCCAAATTGTTTACCTAGATATCGAGGACTCGTTTGCGCACAACGAATATCGTCGTTAACCTGAAATCGGACGACTCGTTTGCGCACAACATAAATAGTGCGTAACATATATTTTATATTTTTAAATTTGGACTTACCTAAAGTAATTGATTATCGTTACAAATTATCAGTACAAATTACCAGCATATCAATAATCAATATATCATCAGTCATTATCATCGGAAATAATCGTTGAAAATAATCGACGTGTATTAAACATAATATTTTTAAACAGTCGTTCGCTAGAAAGCGGTGCTATAACTACGGACTAGTGACTATCAGACTATGGATATTGAAATTGGTGATGTTTTTGAAACGCGTCGAGGTAAAAAGTGTTTAAATATTGATGGTTATAAATTTAGAGAATTCCGAATTTTAAAATCTGGTGATACACATTTTAGGTGTACAAATAAAAAATGTTCCGTGAGTGCTATTGTAAGGCTAGTTAATAATAACAAATATACAATTTTAAAAATCACAAACACGCATATCCATGACGAGTACGACGACCGAACAATTCATCGAGAAGTAGTAAGAAGCAATTTAAAACGTAGAGCTGAAGAGGATTTACACATTAAACCAAATAAACTTATACGCCGGGAACTCCAAAACACTGATAATTCCGAACATCTTCAATATAGCGATATGAAATTAATTCGAAGATCCATATATGAAAAACGAAAAAAATCCTTTCCAAACATACCGAAATCTTTAGAAGATGCTAAAAAACAATTAATTGATGTTCAGCATAATCTTACTTACAAAGGTAATAAATTTTGTTTTGTTAGTGATGATGAAAATGTATTTATATTTACATGTAAAAAAAATTTGGAATTGCTACAAAGTGCAGAACACGTTTTTGGGGATGGGACGTTTTCATTCGCTCCGAAATATTTTGTTCAACTTTATACTATTCACGTATATACAAACAATTTTTATGTTCCTGTGGCGTTTTGTTTTTTAAGTAACAAACATACTGATACTTACATCAATATGTGGAATACGTTACAAAATATATGTATTCAAATTACTGGTAATATAATACATTTAAGCAATTTTCATGTAGACTTTGAAAAAGCTGCGCATAATGCAGTATTGCAAGTTTTTCCTAACTGCAAAATTGCATGTTGTAGCTTTCATTTAGGACAAAATTGGTTTAGACATATTCAACAACACAAAATATTATCGAGCGAGTACTTAAACAATGACTCTGAAATTGGCAAATGGATGAAATATTTTTTTGGATTAAGTTATTTACCCCCTGAAGAAGTTTCTGAAGGATTTTGTGATCTTATGTCAATAGCACCAAGTACCACTTCTACCACTTCTATATTTTCCGATTATATTTTAGAAAATTACATAACATCAGATAGCAATTTTCATCCAACATTATGGGCTTGTGAACCTGTTAATAATCCTAAGACTACTAATGGTGCAGAAAGTTATCACAAACATTATAACAGTCAATTTTACACTGCTCATCCACACATACATCAAGTAATCGACGTCATTATTGGAATTCAAAGTGAAACTGATTTAAAAATTAATTCGATAAACAATAAAATCATAAACTTCAAAAGAAAAGAGACAATTGATAAGGAAATGCAATTGGAAAATATTTGGAATGAATATAAAAATAAAATTATTGATTGCTTAACTTATATGCAGAAAATCGGACTTAATTACCACTATTCAAAATTAGTATAATTTTACCATTTTACCATTTTTTTTACCATTCAAAATTAGTATAATTTTATAATTAATAGACGACTATTACAATTTATTAATAGTTTAATTTTACAACTAATAGACTACTATTATTACTTCTTACTAATAGTATAATTATATATTTATTCAGAACAAACACACACGTTATGCACATTTTTAATCACGCCTGTAAAAAACAGATAGTCCTAAGCCTATATTTAAGTGAGAAGGGAAATGTGCGCAAACGAGTTGTACCTTTATCATTTAAACCTAAAATATGTGTGCGCAAACGAGTTGTGATTTTGTGCGCAAAAGTGCCGTAAAAAAGGTAAATGTGCGCAAACGAGTCGCACCCCTATGTTTAGTGTTTAGTTATAATGAATTAATTAAGTACATACTCATGCTTCTAGGTATATGTTTTCAAGGGTGATTGTAATCCCCAAATAGAGAACAGAATTTCACAAGTTATATATTGTGTTTAGATATATTGTGATGAATGAGAATACATGACTTGATACTATATTATTAATATTAGGAAATTAGTCTAATAAAAGGCTAACAAATTATGGCAAGAAACTTTCAACTATACAAGTACAATTTTAGCCACCCGCAAATAGAACCACACACACACACACACACACCTATACAGGTGCAGTGTAGTTTGCTGCCTCCATAAGGATTTAACAGTCCTTTTACCTTCCACCCTTAATAATGGGTTTAGATGATACTTTCAAAGATCAAACTACACAGAATAATTTTAATATATTGATTCTAAGTTAAAATATAAAATAATGAATAAAAAAAAAATAAGAATTTAAGCATCTCTTGTTAAATCCAGTGCCTAATGGACTCCAATTACCCATACACAGACACTGCCACAACTTTTTTTATTTAATTATTTATAAATAATTTAACAGATGCTGTTAGTAAAATTTAACGCGCGCGGGAAA